GACACACTGTCGCACGCTGCTAGTTCCGTTTTAGTCGTGATGTATGACCGGACGACGTGCCGAGCCTCCGGTGAAACGTGTCGAACCGAGTCACACCGATGCTGGCAGGCCTGGCTGCGAGGAGCCGTCAGCTGCTCTCGACCGAATTTTCGGCTTTCTGTGTCGAGAGGAGTAACCTCGCGGAGAGGTTCGCAGCGAAAATGAACTCTGAGCAAAGACGTTTCGCCGACCATGGATCCGAAGCGGACTGTCTTCGTTTGACGGGCTGGATCAGTTAAGACATCAACTGTGAATGACGGGGAGTTCGATTTCGATTTTTCTCCCCTCGTATCCTCCTCATCTTTTCAGACGCACCCCGAGCTCCTTCACCCCGCCAAAACGGAGCGCGAACGTCTCCGAATCGGTAGACAACTTCTTTCATACACGTCTACCCATTGAACACTGAAAGCACGGCTAATCGATGAACATGGCCATTGTTGGAAGCAGGAAGATGTGAGCCACCCGTTGAGGGGGCACTCAAAACCTTTTTCTCGGCCTGCTGTGGCGGTCCTGACGGAAACCTCAATAGATATAGGGGCTTGACGAGACGTAAAAAAACGTTCTCCTCGTCCATTGAGGAGGAACTCTCACTCCCGAGAGCGATAGTCTGGCTTGTTGTCAAGTTTCCGTAAATGAAGAAGAACCGGGGCACATAAAACGGAATCATGAAAACTCTATAAAAAGTTTTGGTCTTCCAATCGGGCTCTACGTACGACAGAATAAGGACAGCATGGGGAAGCGGAGAGAAACAGGGTTAGATGCTCGATCGCCGACCGGTCGGCCGATCGAAGGAGATCGAGATTTGGTGGCCTCCTATTCATTCTCCCTCTTCTTTGTGCCCCGTAGCACTGGGTGGCCACAGCAGACGCAGAGTCCCGGAGGCAGATAAGAACGCAGGTGGGGTGGTCTTGCCATCGTTGGTAGCGACGACGGCGCGGCGGTCTCCGGCGGAGGGAACTTAGCAAAGCCCTTGTAAAACTTTTGCAACATTGAACATCCTCCCGGACGGAGTCTGTTCGATCGTAAAATGAGCTGGAGCTGGAGTAGTAGGGAAAGATGCGCACCCTTCTGAAGTATTTACCCGTAAGAAATCGCCAAACATCATTCATTCACATTCCGAAAACTTTTCGACTCAAGGATACGCGAACGCTGGAAGGAGACTTCGCACGATGGGGAGGTGCCGCGGGGAAAGGGTGGGATGGGAGGCCGGTTCGATGCATGGGAAAATCTGCCTGCGTCTGCTGTTCGGCGGGGGGTGGGGGCTATGAAGGAGAAACTGAACGCCATCCCCATGTAAGAGTGCAAATCCCTACCATATTTCACGGGCTGCCCTCTCCTCGTCGTGGCTTCGCTCGGGGAGCTGCGTATGCTTGTAGCAGGAGATCTCATAGTGACCACTGGAAAACGGCGAGTAAAAACATACGGTCAGTCGCGGACACTCTTTATTCCCTGCAGCAGAATTGAGATGACCAGATCTCTCTCTCTCCCATGTCCGTGCTCGCCGTTCGCCTCCGAGTCGTCACCGATGCGGTATCTCACATCACCACCATCTCTCAGAGCTCCACAGATCCGAACGCAGCGAACGCGCCAGCCAGCCAGCCAGCCAAGACTGATGCGGTGCTCGCGTCGAGTAGAGAAAAAGCGTGCAGAATTCTCTTCGTCATCCTCTGGAATTTTATTCTCATGTACGACCTATTATTGGTTCCGTGGCAGAACTCAGAGATGGAAAGTGCAATTGCAATTTTCAATAATCTCCGTTTTGTAGCAATAGCTCGCCCGCATCCTCCTACACCACCATCGTCGCCATAATCATCCGTCTTATTGTAACCATCATTGATGTCGTCATCATTAATATCATCAGTTTTATTGTGATCATTATCAAACCAAAGCCTATGGAAGGTTTCGTCATCAACACAGAACATCAACCATACAATCAGGTTCTCGCGATTCGTAAATACATTTTCAATAGTAGCAGTAATAACCATAATGACAATGTTGATAGTGGTATCATCATTGAATTTTTCATGATAACATCGTCGGTAGCCCATTTTGCTCCAGATCGAGGACTGAGGATGGACACTGGGCTGTGAGGAGATCAATGGCTCCACAGCTGTGCGAAGGGCCGATCAACGGAAATCCCGTCCACAGCTCTAAGAGTGAAGGTTGAGCTTCACGCCGACTCCAGCCCTTCGAATATTTCATCGATCGGAACGACAACGCGTCGAACCGGAACAACATCTACCGATTGCCGAATCCACACACTTCTCATCGATTTTCATAGCCAACAATTGTTTCTGAGTATTATAATCATCAACGAGCTCATAAGATCGTGTTCCCTCCGATCATCTATTCAAGGTCGCCGTGTTTCGAGCTGTCTGACGTAACTGTTGGCTCCCGTACGTTGTCGTCAAAATAACATCGGCTCTCCTTACATTTGGTATCGGTAGCAACAGCATACGTAGTAAGTAATAGTTATAGTAATAGTGTTATCAGTTATAGTAATAGTAGTAGTGGTAGTAAGAGTATTAGCGATAGTAATAGAAGTGGTAGAAGTAATAGTAGTAATAGTAGTAGCGGTATCGGTAGGTAGTATCGTTTCCGGTAACAGCAGTATCGTTATCAGCTCTAGGAGTATCATTGATAGATCTACCGGTAGAAGAAGCACCGGTGGTGAGTATACCGCGAATCGAACTCCGAATGAAAACTTGAATGCCTCGTTTTCTCTGGTTTTCTGCATACGGCCGCAGTATTGAGAGCTCAGATGCATGAAGACATATTTTCAAAATCAATCTGAGATTATTCGATCGGGGGAGAAACTTACGATCGACCCACTCGGAGGCCTAACAGGTTTTTGTTCGACTCTTCCGTCCTTCCAAAATACACAATGATTCAGCCATTTGCTCATTTCGAAGGGGTTTCGTTGCAAAAACGCAAGCGTCCGCGAGACGCTTCCCTTTACAGACCGACATTCGAGAAGGATAATACTATAGCTGATAGATACTTCAACAGTAGGGTATGTACGAAGAAAAGACTTCGAGTAGCTCTAGGGCGGAGTGGTTTTCAGGATTGTTTCTGGTTTTTCTCCTTTTTTTAAACTTGTAACTTTGACTTTGAACAAGAGGCCATTCGCAACGAATCGAAAAGCTTCGAAAGGCAGGCGACGTCGGAACGTTTCCAACTTGAGGACTCATCGTTAGTTATATGAAATAGGTGAAGATCCGTGAGAGCTTGGAGCGTCCTCGATCTCAACATCGTTGAATTTCGTGGAGGATGATCCGATGGATAATACAATTGGACAATTCAGACATTCAGGGTAGTGATCCACGTCTCTTTAAACTCACGGAATTTCCCGTTTGTCTCCCCTCTAGTCTCCCCCGTGGTAAATTTTCCGCTACAAATTGGGTTTAGTTCCTGTCTTGAGATCATTCGACCTATCAATTTTCATAGAAGAACTCGGAAAGATCCGATAGGGACCCCCTCATAAAGATGAACATGTGTCCGTCACTTCATATCTTTCGCTGAACTCAACCGTTTCTCACGTTCGGGGTATGTTGTTCTGTGTTTGATGTTGAGTGTTCTATATTTATATCCTATGGTCCTTACAGGACTACGATGAATGTAGAGGAACCCGAGTCCTCTTCGATCGGGGAGAACACAAACACTTTCTCTGATTCCGCGTAATCCCATCGGTCTGAGTTCCGATAGAGGTCATGATGCAAATGCAACGATCTCGAGAAGCACATTCGAGCGAACTCTAAGGATGCTTGTTCTCTCCGCAGAATTACGATTTTCCGGAGGTGTGACAACGCGAGAAATTCTTCGACTTGCAGCTGACTTCGATCAAAGGAAACTTCCCAACTCCCTCCGAATAGCTCCAAAGAGATGTTTGACCATCAGACAACTCACGGAATGATGCCTCGAGAGCGAGTTGACTCCCACTTTACGAGAACAGAAAAAAACTGTGAAAGACAAGTTCGTAGGGAAGCATCGAAGTCAGGGTGGCTCATGTCACGTCATCGGCCCGCACTCTCCCGAAAAAATCCATGAGGGCGATGCAATCATTCAGGGAATCGATTCTTTCCGCGGCAACGTTTCCCGGGAAGTTTCGCATTCGCTGAGGGTCTCGAGCGAGTCGAATTCATCCATCTCCGAATAGGAGGAATCCCTCCCGGGGAAGTATCTTCAGAGGCTTACGCAGAGTATGCACTTGATTTGGGTTCTGGTGATGCAAGTTACACAAATGAGTGGATAATGACTGTGTTCGAGATACAACGCATTCGCGAATGAATGATTTCACTCGTAGATCTGAATGTCGGTATCCGCGCTATTCGACGTCGCGGAATGATGTGTATCATTATTCAGTAGAGAGCCTAAGTTGATCGTTCTGTATCGACGTAATACCGTTACTTAGTTACAAGTAGAGCTACCTATCATGGGAAATGATAACGCTCAATGGTATACAGGCTAATATCAAGTAATTTCCAAACAGACACATGGATGACGTGAAGATAGTTGATGAGCGTCTCTCCTCCGACGACAGCTCAGCGGCCTCATTGGGGCTGCACCATCAGGTGCTTTCCCGAGCCTCCATTCTCTTCCACTTCTACATGTATTTAGGTCTTATAGGAGTTTCCCAACAACGACTTCTCAAAAGTTCTCTCAAGATCTTGCTCGCTCGCGCTCCATTCCTTCCATTCAACTCGTATTCGATCAAAGATTTGTTTCCATTTTTCGCTCCCACTACCATCCGTCGGGGTTCCGGCATGTAAGTATTTAGGTATGTGTGTAAGAGCTAAGTAGAAGGCTCGGTCTCTCGTATTCTTTGTCTACATATATCCAGAGCTATGATCTTTTCCGACATCTTCTCGTAGGCTATCACAGACTGGCAGCTCTCCGGGCTGCTTGAAATATCGGTTGGTGGTCGGTCGCTTTACATTCAAGAGTCGAGACATTCATCTCATCGTTCCTTCCCATTCTTCCTTGGATGATATCTCACCATCCACCTAGCTGGGTGGAGACCGCCAACATCCGGTCTCGATTCCCAGAGAGTCTGCACTCATGCATTCCGTGGTTCTTTCCGATTGGTTTCCCAGACATAACTCGATTCGTTCTCTTAGTTTCCTCTTCAATCAGTTATCACGAATCTCACTCATTCATCCGGCCTCGGTCGATCCGAGTGCTCCCTTCGTGCAGATAGGGAACGATATCCGTGACCGACCAGCCGACCGACCGCCGACCCCTCTTATCTTACACTTGGTTCGCGATGGACGACCTTGATACGAGACTTTGTCGAATGTAGTTAACGTCTATCGTCCGCTGGTAGTCACTGACTGCTTACTGAGTGACTTACGAACAGAATCAACCACCAACCCATCCACCTACCCCCATTCAACCACCCGTATATCGACTTTCCTTCCGGCGCGTCGCTCAGGTCAGAGCTCGACTGGCTCCGTCGTCATGGTTCCGCGCGCGGCGGTTGAAGATTCCCTAAATTTCTTTATTGAGTCGCGGAGATCAGCAGAGAATCCACGGATAACCTTCTCAAGCCCAGACACGGAGCGTGCTGTCCCAACTTGCCGTACACAGAGCTGTGCCGTCGGGAGAGACTTGGAGACAGGTCACTCGGTTTTCGTGGCCGTACAGAATGCCCAGACGAGTGCCCTTCAAGGTATCCCAGATGTTGACCGTGTAGTCATTATAACCAGCGAAGAGCAAGCGGCCTGCGATCAGAGAAGACGTTGAGCAATATGCCTCGAACCGAAATTTCAGCGGGGGCTGAATACTTTTCTCATATATTTCGTGCTCGAATATTTCCCCCAGCTCGAGGGCCTCACTCACCACTAACGCTGAAATCGACCGAGTTTACCCCGAAGATTATGCTTCTCTTCGTGTAGACGGAGACTTCTCTGTCAGCTCGGAGGTCGAACAGCCGACACTGCGACGGGATAGATACTTTGAATTATTTATGACATGGCTACAACAAGGGGGACTACGGCTACATAATGTCCGCAGCCCGTTGACACTGATCGAATTTCTATGTGATCAACGGTCACTATCGACCGGCTAGCCTCGATTGCAGCATTGTCGCTGAGAGTTTTAGATAAAGATAATGCTCACAGTCGCGTCGTCTGATCCAGTCGCGATCGCGTCTCCGCTCGGGTAGAATTTCACCGTGTTGATATCGGCTTCGTGTCCTTCGAACGTTTGGACGCATTGACCGCTCCTCATGTCCCATATGAGAGCTTGTCGGTCGCAGCCCTGGAGTCAGAAGTTTAGAGCCTCACACCATTTGAATCGTATAGACAAGGGATCGGACATCCGGATTCTGGGATAATCAGCGAGCTGTTCAGCATTTTCGTGTCTCTTTTCGAAAAACTCACAGCCGAGACGAATGTGTTTCCCATCTCGGTCGGGGAGAGGTCAATCGACATGACGTCGCCTGAATGGCCGTGGAAGCTTTGCATGAGCTGAGAGCATTCCACGTCCCATAATGCGCACGTGCTGTCCCCGCTCCCGGTCAAGATCTGAAACATGAAGGACATTCCTCACTATCACCTCCGGAAGCTCGGAGCCGCTCTGGCGCCAGTCTACATGTCGAAACGGTATCCTGGGCTCTCAACTCTGAAGGTTCGACAGGGAACGAAAGCGAGAAATGTTGCCTCATTTAGCGCCCCAGCTTTGAGAGGCGAAAACTCATGCGACGAGGGATGACGCTTTGTTCGAGAGACGAGGTGACTCCGAACAATCAGATTGATGGGATCGAGATCTCACCTGTTGGTCCGAGTTCGGGAATAGACAACACGACATGTAGCTCGTGTGTGTGCCGACTGCCTTTTTGCGTTGAGAAACGTCATCTTCAAAACTCAACGGGTATACTGTCACCTTGTTATCCAGGCCACTGTGAATCGAGGATTTGTACGTTCTGAGCTAAAGTATATCTAACATTTCCAGAAAGGCTCGAGATATATCTGCTGGACAGAATGGATCGTTCGAACGGATACAAACCCGCAAGCAACCATGTTGCCCGACGGTGCGTACGCACAAGCCATGACCCACGTCGTAGGCATCGTGACGGCGTGTTCCTACAACGAGTTGATTCCTTCCTATTATTCCACTCTGATCACGACCTGTTGCCCCCGATAATTCTCTTGCTCCCTAAGACACAATCTGGGACGGACTATGGAACGTGCTTCACAAGCGACTGGAGCGAAGATTTCCTCTCGGCAATCAGCTGAGAAGGCATTTCACTCCACAATCACTCGAAGGAGCAATATCTCGTACTATCGGAGGGGGCTCTGACCGAGAAAGTCTCTCATGCCCTGAAGCTTGGATCCTTCGGTTCGTGTTTCGACCGATGTCGGAATCAAGACCTCCAGAGGGGATCACTGCGGTCTGAGGTGTTTCCACTATGGAGAGGAATCAGCGCACGCTCATCGGAGCTGCGATCACGGATTCCAAGATGAATTTCATGGCAGAAGAACGAGGGGCGCTCACCTTGTTGGTCGTAAATGCATCCCAGATGATCATTTTTCCATCTTGTGAGGAGCTAACAATGTGGCGCTTGTCCAAAGACCAGTTGGCGCAAAGCACCTTACCCTGGTGGCCCTTCAGGACTCTCCGTGGCTTGATGTTAACTGGACCCACTGATTCCAGGCGTTGAGCAATCGTCGAAACTGCAACCATAAGCCAGCGTTTCAGAGACGGCGCTCCCCCGTGAGCTCAGGGTTCGGGATTACGATTCACTTCACATCTTCCGAAACTTCGCTGAGTTTCATTCAACCAAATAGCTCTCCAGAATCGATTAGACTCTAGCAACAAGTCCTGAGGTCCTTGTCTCCCACGGACACTATCGGACGAGCGAGGGGTCGTGGGGCGAGCACTGTGACAGTCCGCCAGGATCGAGAGGACTCGCGCAAGCGAGCCTAACTTACGGGCGACATCATTCAGCTTCCTGCGTTCTTCGTCGAGTTTGATCTTGAGGGCCTCGATCTCCTTGACGAGACTTTCGACTGTGTCCTGCTGACTCGTCTGAACCGTAGCAGGAGGGTGGAGAACTGCTGTGCTGGGCTCTGCAGCAGTCGCCATTGCCCGCGTCGGTCCTTTCTTCAACCAGAGCGCGTGGACAGACGACCGAGCTCAGAACCTGAACCTAGACTAAGAGGGCCTTGCGCTCCCCGCTCACGCATGCGCGAAACAGGCTTAGCCCTTTAAGCATTTTGGCGCGAAATTTGATTCCTACCCCCCAAAGTAGAGCTGGGGGGCTCATGCGTTGGAGAATTTGATATACGCGGAACACGGAGAATGTACCGGAGAAACGGGCAAGAGGAACAAAATCGAGCACTACTTGGGAACGTCGACGCTCCTTCACTTCACGCTCGAGCAAAAATCCCAAGGATTTCCGCCTTGCCTCGATGAATGCGCCTCTCCTAAGGATTCATGAACCTCATGACCTTAATTGGTCGATTCATCGGGCTTCCGAGATGGATATGCAGAACTGATTTCTGTCTGGTACACAGGCTCCCAGCGAATATACCTTCCGAAGCATACCCAGAACAGGTCCGGGAACGTAGATGGGGGTCGACCTACTTTGGCCCGCAAATTTTTCGAAAACCCTCAAACTCGCGGAAAACCCGGCTGCTTCCGTAACGAATATCGAGACGCTTGCAATTATTCTACGCTTCTCTCATTTTTCAGTTCGGATGGACGAGCGATTGCACTAGGCGCGCCACCCCCGAGCCGGAGCATGACGAATGATGACTCATGAGCTGTGCTGAGGCGCCACCTGGATAAGAGAGAAGTCCTCATCAATGAGTTCGGATCCGGCCCGCTGCATCGTGCTCCCGCAGGACTCGGTCATTGTGAGCGTTGTAGTCACTCCATCCTGGCGATGTGTGTGGAGAGAGGGTCGGATGTCCCCATCGCCAAAGCGAATCTTGAGGAATCATGCAGTCCCCGATTGGCGAACTAGCGGGCTTCCGGGTCAGAGAAAATGCTCGCGGAGGAGGTCTGAACCTGAATTTATTGTGGAGCGCCCAGAGCCGCCAGTCCAGATCCGTCAGCCGTGACGGCAGCCGACCGTGGACGGCGCGGGCTGGAATACCTCCCCGGCTGTTCCGTCTAATTCCAGCTCAAGCTTCAGAGACTTTTTCTGAGAGACTGTTCCGCTAAGCGAAGGGGCGAGAATTCTCGGTCGAGTCGGGAACCTCCTTCAATCATGTGCTAGCGCTTGGGTCTCCGGGACAGATTCCCAGACTTGAATTTCCAACAGCAGAGTATGGGAAGGAGACGCAAGAATGGAGCTCCGTCGCATCGTGAATATGACCCAGCAGGGAGAATCCTGGTCCTTGGGCCACTCCCATCCGCCAAGTCGGATTCTCTTCGTGCGAAAAAGATTTTTCTCTGTGGAAGCCACTCTCGTCTCATTGGTTTCCCAAATCTACTACATGGGATGCTGCGTACCACTTTACTACCACCTCATTCCAAGAGGGAAAGGCGGGTTTCCCGAATCTCAGGTCGTCCAGCCGCAGGCTTGGTCTCATAATTACCACCTTCAACGCATGCCGCGTCGACGCCGGTTGTCGCCGATGGTTTCTGCGGCGGCTGATGCGCGCAGCGGCTCAAGGCAAGGCGCACGTCGTTGCCCGGAGCCGATCTCAGAAACCCTCCCCCATGACCGATGCCGTGACATTAGAGTCTGGCCAGCAAGAGCTCTCATTCATCAGAAACCGGAAAGTCGAGTGATACACTCCGAAAAGCAGGACTTGAAACATGTCATGAGAATTGAGAATCAGGACATAGATATCCGATACCTGGGGATATCTATGTCCTGATATATATCGGGTTGTGTCGAGATGGACTCTCACTAACAATCAGACTTTGAATATGTTAAGGTATCTATGCAGGAATGAATCTTGGAGACCGACGATCCGAGATAGCCGTATCGGCGCCGGGTCCAAGGCAGGAGTTCGATCTGGAGCCGGGGAGAACATCTTTCATCGATCGACCCTGCCTCGTCATCTGCCTGTCTCTCACGGGCTCCGCACCTCAAAGCGGATTGTCATTCGCTGCATTCTGGGCCTTGCAGAGCATTGCAAGACTTTCTCTGGGACAGGTATGACATAGAAGAAACGAGCGATTGACATCCTGAGCACGGTTGCGGCCGCTGTAGTTTTTCATTTGCGGGAGCATGGAGAAGACTCTCTAATTCCGGGGCATCTCACGGCGTTCGACTCGTCCGCGCGAATTCTAAGTAATGTTCCGCCGTCCTGGAACGTTCGCTCCCAGTGCATCAGTGAGCTCCCGCGGGTAGCTGTCTCTCGAGCGTTTTTTGACCCATCCGGCAGAAACCCCTAATCAGAATTACAATGCCGTAGCTCAATCGCCTCGAAGTCCCCTCCCGGCGGGGTGCAATCGCATGACGCGAGGCTCTAACAACGCGAGAAATACCAGGGATTCGAATTCAGCGCGCTGCTGCAAGGAATACCTCTTTCCATGAGAGAGGGTCTGAAAATGAGCCTGCGCAGATCACATTCGCCCCTTGCATTTCGGGGGCTCGAATTCTCCATGCTCCAGATGGGAATTTCGGTGCAAACTTGCGGTTCTCCACTTGGCCCCTCTTCCGCGGTACCACGAGCGCGCTCAAAAGCCTGTGCTGCAGGGCTTACAATAATAATAATTAGTGCCGGACCCCGGTCTGCCTTGGCTAGAGGGATCTATTCAAGCATTCGCCCAAAGAGAATGAGGGCTCTCAGGGAACTTCGAAGAATCAAATGGCAATTCCATAATTCCATCGAGAGGGTCACCACCAACACCTTCGAAGAAAACGTCAGAATAGATCTGCGCATGGCGCGGAGACCGCTCTGACACCTCTCGGCTTCCCATCGGGCATTCCAACGGCATATTATACGCTTGAAGGCTTCTACTGTCGATAGTTACCGCTTCTCTGGGGGAGCAATGCTCCGAGCGCGGAATGGGCACGTCTCGATAAACAATAAAGTCCAAGTTTGGATTCGTGATGACGGTCGAGATGGGGAAATCCTCCGCCGAGTCTTGAGATTGGAGCATCGATAGTGGGAAACCAGAAACCGATCCTTTCAGGTTCGCGAGGAGTCACTGTTATGAGTGTCACTGTAGCGGGGAGCGACAATGCACTGATACAATTCCGTACTTTCAGGGGATGAGCAGGCATGGGGTTTCAGGGGCGGCAAAAAACCGCGGAGAAATGCCAAAAAGACCGATAAGAGGGAAGTTCCGAATTATTGTGCCCAGCGTCATCGAAAATTGCTCGGGATAAAAATTTAAAACGAAAGGAATGGAAAATATATCGAATTCTAATCCAACGGGGCATCACAGAGAGACGGTTCGCCACTGCCCCGATATTCGAAGTCTCTTTTCGCGCATCCGCGATCACTGACCACATCTGCGCTATAGCCCGCAGCGCTTCGATGGAGGTCGGGCTCGTCAGTCTCAATCATGTTGCGATGTCGACGCGAGAAGCGTCAAAATTCCACGCAGCAAGAAGCTAGAAGTCGCTGTATTTGTTTTTTGATTTTACCTCCGAGAACAAATCGCGAAAGGGGTTCAGAAGTATGTAGGTATATCAAGCGAGCTCATATCATGAACGTATGAAGATCATACCTCCGATAGCGTGAGCTTTCGTGGGCCGATAATGGAGGTGTCGGTTGAAGTTGCGCCTTAACCCCTGCGAAAAACAAGGAATCTGATCTTGCAAGGAGTCGTTCTCAGAATGAATCCGGGACTTTCGCTCTGAGGCCCCTGGCGATTTTCGGGCTGTAGAGTAGCGATTCTCCGAACTATTCGAGGATTCTGTCGGTTCGATATCCACTGCCTTATTGCTTCCAGGAGAAAGCGTCGATGGACCACCGCAGAGTCTATGATTTTGATAAGAAAAGCGGCTAGGTATGTGATATGCGGTTTGGATCGCCGAGACCGCGCTTTTGTAGAGGATATCTTATTTCTCCGCTCATGGATGCGCAGCATATACTCGGGGGCATTAATGATTCATCGGGCGAAGGCATCGAGTCGGTATCAAATAGATGCGGTAAGCAATCCGAGTCCACTCCTCCACCTCTCCTCACGAGTCATCACCTGCCCCGCCTTTGCGGTCGAGAAAATCTGAGATAAGCAATCAGATAGTTGGGTTCACGATGAGCAATGTGCTCGTTGCCGACCGCAGAGTGGCATGTCCTTGCTCACAAGTGAAGCTGGCCATGGCGGCCGAATTCGACCATAACCCTCGCCTCCGGAGCACATCGGCTCGAGATTCTGCGAGGTTGCAGCTCTCCAGTTACCGATTTGTACTTCGGTTTCTTTCCGAGGCTGATAGAGATCGCCCTCTCTCATTTCATCGGTTAGAGGAGGCTTATTAAGCCGCTCAGTGTCCCGAGTTGACTACGCTATCGATTCGATTGACTTACTACTGCGATTCTAGCTGTCGCTCTCCTATGCAGTCGCTTCTCACCTGAGCAGTCCGAGGCAGCAGTTTGTCGCTTTCCAGCTTCGCCACGGTCTTGAGATCGCGGAGTCCGACCGGATCGATCTTGCCGCTACCATCGTCTTGCTTCGAGCCGGCGGAGGGATTTCAGGTTCAGCTGTAGACGATACTGGGAGCTTGTTCAGCCTCGCCATAAGATTCTGATCTGTGGTTGCTTCAGCTCGTCAGAGAACAATAATGACGAACTGGTCGGATCCAAATGTCGCTAAAATTTGTGTGGCGGCGGGCCTCGCTTTTGGCACTATGCTTTTTGCATCGATTCCGGCTCTGCTCTCCAAGCGGTCGGAGAACCAGCGCAGTGGCGTCCGACACGTACTGTCGGGACTCTCATGCCTGGGTGGCGGAGTTTTCTTAGCGACGTGTTTCCTACATCTGATACCAGAAGCCATCGAGAACATGGACGACGCCATTGCGAGCAGCAGTATCAAGACGAACGGGTTCCCGCTGGCCTACGCCCTCATCATTGTGGGTTTCTTGTTGGTCTTGATCAGTGAGCAGGTGAGTTCTATCGTGAAATGTCTACGACTCATTCCAACCCTATCTTTTGCGGTTTCGCGAGGTATGGTCGCTCTTCGGATTAAGAAGTTTCATCTCTCTCCAGATCATCCAGAAGTTCAACAAAGGCGGCCTCTCGTTGGGCCACTCGCATGGACCGTCACGGGATAACAAGAGTGGAGCACCGGTCCCCGACTACGGAGCGATCCGGAGGAACGCCGCTTTGGGCTTGGGGTTCCCGGACGAGGTTCGTGATTTTGAGTCGTCTAGCCTTCTTGCCCGATAAATTCTTGGGTCTACAATCATCTGAGGACCCATTCCGTCATGAAGTCGCGGACGGATCATCGAACGTTAGAGATAACCGTTCTGTTTTTCCATGAGAAGAATGGTGATGCGGAGCGCTCGGCGGGAACTTCGCTCGAAGACTCCGACGACGAGGACCGGATGACGACAGTTTCGATGCACGGTGACCCTGGCAGCCACAAACCTTTCCGAGCCATTGTTCTGGTATTCGCTCTCTCATTGCACAGTTTCTTCGAGGGGCTCGCCATCGGTTTGCAACCGAGCACCGCGGACATCTTACAACTCTTGGGTGAGAACTCTGCAGCAATTAGACTAGAAAAAATCATTATTAGACAATCAGGCATAGTCAGACAACCGCCCGCTCCCCTAGGACTCCCTCCTAATCTCGGAATCTTTGACTCGGTTACAGGTGCCATCGTCGTTCACAAGAGCGTCATTTCTGTGACCCTGGGAACCAATTTGGTGTCAACAACCACCCTGAAATCATGTGGGCTCTTCTCCGCCATTGCGGTCTTCTCTGGAATGGCTCCTGCTGGAATCCTGGCGACGCTTCTACTCAATGGTGCCCCTCCGCTCGTCAGTGGAGTACTGCAGTGCATAGCTGGCGGCACTTTCGTGTACATTACGTTCTTTGAGATTTTGCCCCATGAGCTGAACTCCGAGAGCACTGAGGGCTCGCGGCTGTTCAAGACAATGATGCTCCTGACCGGTATTGGCCTCATTGTCGCGCTCATGATCGCTTTCCCTGAAGACCCTGACCAAGTCCCCAGTCCGAACAATGTCTCGATGACGGTGCCCTACGTATTCTCCGCTGCTCAAGGTTGAGAGCCAACATCCTGGAGACCTCTTCCATTCGATGCGTCATTCTTGTTCTGACTTCTTTCCACTCAGGCGCCGAATTTCTCACTCTGCGCTCCTCCCGATGAAGTTTGGATTCTCACCTGTCGTTCAAATGATGAAGAAGATTGAGTCCGTTAGACTGGACGGAGTCGAAAGCCGCCCTTGCTGATCGCTACGATATATATAAGGGGGAAGATTACGTTTTAAGAAGCTGCTGTACTCAGTGAAGCTTCGAGCGCGAGAGGTCGATCGCGAGAGGTCGATCGCCTAACAGCTTGATGCGGGAAATCTGTGTTACCGTAGCATACTTAGCTTGGCTACTTAGCATCCGAGCTTGGCTGTACATAAAGGTAGAATAAAATTATTGACTACTCTACGCAGAGTTATTTCATTTATCGCGTCCGCCGTGCTCGTGTATCTGGCGATTGTGTGAACCGAACTTCACGAAAACCGCTCAATAAGAGCGGGCTCGCTCGATTCATGGAGCTAGTTTGTTCCTTACTGCCAGGATCAGACCTCCGTGGGGTTGATCCTGTTCGATGTTCCGACCGGCTTGGTCAAGCCGAGAATGTCTCATCTCCATAGCTGGCCTCAAACGGATGATGAAGCCGAGAATCTGTGCGCAGGAAGGCGATCCCAATGAGATATTCGAGATCTCGAGTCGGTCGCACCGGATTCGGAAAAGTGCTGCTCTGACGCTAGGAGTCCGCAGCTCCGAATCTGGGTTTGAGCGATGATCGATCAAGTATCTGAATTGCGAATCAAAGACTGATTGAGAGAATCATGAGTCTTTTTCAGATCTCTCCATTCTGAAAAGCTGTGTTTACCTCATCGATATTGACACTGCGCCCTGACACCATGGAGACTGCTTTGACACGACCCCCCTTGCAAAGGTCAAGTCCTCAAAATTCCTAATCTCAGGTGTCTTGCTGCCTTTCACCTTCAATTCACAATTCGCAGCTTCGCATCAATCCTCAGCTTTAGGGTCTGCAGACAGTCATGGGGTTCACACGTCGATCGTGGCGGAGACCTTCCCCTGTCTGTCTGCGATCTGTCTCTGGATTCCACGACCACATGGATTTTTGTGTCATGTAGCCGTAACCAGCATCTTTGATAAATGCTGATCTGCGTTGCATCAGCAAAAGAAATACGAGGAATGCACCGAGACCGCTACCGCTCATGATTTCGGTTGAAACCTGATCGCCTGGCGATGTGGCTTCAACTATCGGCAACAACACCGAATGTCATAAGCGTGGTCGAATCGTTCTCAGAACCCACACATACCTGTGCTTTGGAAAGATACCGTTTTCTGATGTCCTAGGATATCGTTCGACTCCGAGAGCTGCGGAATGACACTGATTTCTAGGCTCTGAGTTCGACTCTGTCGAGGCTGCTGAGTAATACGATCATTGCTCTTCGAATCGATCGGAGGCGAATTTTCTACTGACAAGTTTCCGAGACTTTTTGTGGGAATCCCACGAGCCTTTGCAATTCGGATCGTTCTCCGAAGTGTGGATGAAGGAAACAGCGACTTCAAGGTCCGGAATTCCACCCCCTCGACGGAAGCAGAGGGCACAACTCATTCGAATCCTCGCTCGCGACATTTTTGATCCATCCGTCGCTTCTTCCATCCTCTTAATAGTGCTAGGGACGTTTTCTGCGGTGTTCATAGGATGCCGAATCGGAGAAACCCGGAGTCTCTTGCGAACACGGACAAGTGGGCCAAAACCAACTGGGCCAACACCAACTGGGCCAAAAACCTACTGGGCCAATGGACCAACTGGGCCAAAACCAACTGGGCCAAAAACCGGATGGCTGAGAGAATCTCAAACTCAGTAAGATAAGATGCTGCTTGAAGAGACTACATCCCACCTGAAATTTCGCGTTTAAGCAGAGCCTCGTACTGTAAGCGATGCTTTACGGGAATCGTATTGAGGGAGACGCTCCTCCTGAGATTTTGGAGTCGTTAATACGCAGGAATCGAGTACAAACAACTTCAGTTATCTTTGGATTCTATCTATGTAGATTGAAGAGCCGCAGCTGTTTGATTGATTTGGGCGTTAAGTAACTTGATTCTTCCGTGCCTCTTCGCGGTTCCCCGTGCAACCATGTCGGGTCGGTGACGTGTTTAAGAAGCAACCCCTCAAGTAAGCCGTGCCTGAGTGGAGTATCGTTGGAGAAGAGCAGACACGACATTCTTCCGATCGAGGTCCTAATGTTGCCTCAAAATTCTCCTATTTTACCCATGTTGGGGCACTCGGGAATCATCCCTGGGCAAACCGATTTTTTGCCCAGTTGGTTTTGGCCCAGTTTGTTCGTTGGCCCACTTAGTTTTGGCCCATTTGGATTTTGGCCCAGCTGGTTTTGGCCCAGTTGTCCTGCACCGGAGTCTCTTGCCTCTTCTTCTGAGCAGGGGAGGATCTCCTCGGGGAAGCAATAGCTCATGAGCTTGATGGGGGCGCCACGTAGAGGAATCTGTGCCTGCCTAGAGGGGTGGATACGATCCGACTGAGCTCCTCGACTCATACCGGAGGCCTGATTCGAAGATCAAACAACTCCTGGGTAGTTACCTTTCGAATCATCATGAAGGCACTACCGTCCTTCTCCAACGTACCTTTCTCTGAATTCGCAATGGAGGATACCGTTTTTTTTACGGAGGAAGAGTCCGTGGAGCGGATCCATGCATGGAGAGCTGAGATTCCGTACGGGTAGCCCACTGTGACATCAAGAGATCGCTGCGCGCTCCTTTGCATTTGTTCAATCGTAGCTTGACGGAAGCGCAACGCTAGCGATGTGAAAGGGGCCGAAGCTGATACCGCTCACCGTATGGGGGGAGCATCCCAATCTTTGAATCGTCAAGCCGAGTGAGTTCCTTTGAGCATCATTTGATAAGACTCCTTCGTGGGTATGAACTCAATCAGGAGTCAAACGGATCATGGATCTCCTGTCTGATCAATCACGGTTCGACATCCGGCTGCGACTCCAGGATGCGAAATCATTGAGGAATACGCTCGCACCGGGAAGCGGAGTGAGCGCGACTCACAGAAGGCCAGCCTTCTCGATGAAGAGCGACCCTCCCGAGCACGACTCCCCGAGCGGCTCCTGGTCAGCTGTGCGCAGGCGCCACATGGATACCTTGTCATGAGGAACCGGGCCTCTCCGTCGGCTTCATACATCGGCATTCGGCATTTCGGGATCTCTGACTTCCTGGAAACATCCAGTCAGCTATTCTACAGCGGCATGATAGTATGTACGGGGGAGCACACGTTAGAGGAGCGAAACTCGTCACTGCTCGGGTCGGGGAAATGGGCGAAGGCGACCATAACCATCCAGGAGCTCCGCGCTTCAGTGCATCCAATCGGGGGCCAGCGTTCATTCGGAGGGATTGAGAGCTGGGAAATGTAATGTCGGAAGCATCGATCTATGGAGAGCGTCGATCAACGGAGAGCGTCGGCCTCCGATTTCAGAGAGTCGAACATTTCGTAGGTGCATCGCCGTGATCTCTTGCCCTATATCTTGTCTGTGCGGTAAGACACGTCCTATGGTCTTGATAATCCGTACGACCCGCCTTTTGAAGCTTCCCGGTGTGCTGAATCAGCGGATAACCATCACGGGTTGAGGTCATGACTCTTCCGCTTGAGATAATCCGATATTTATCGAAGCCCTTGATATAGAATCTCGGGGAGTCAAGGAGTTCTTCGTCAGACGTCCAGGGTGCACTGTTCCTCTACTTCTCTCTCCTTGGAAGGAACGTGTAAACACAACCTACAGCACGACCCCGTACCGTAATGATGACTGCTATGAGACAACGTGTGAGAGTTGAGAGAAAAGATGGGGCAGCTAGCAGAAAAGTATCCACCCACTATCGGCACAGCAAGATGTGCATGTGCCCCCTACTAGAGAGTGCCTGACCGTGCCGGTCGGTTAGACGTCCGAAACACGGCTCTGTGGCGTGATCTAACATCGACTACGGCCACTATCTGTCTAGATGGTTTTTATCGTCATGCGGCTCGTTTCATTAGCGGAGTACTCCGCGCATGTTTCGCCTCGCAAGACCTCAGCGGACGGCGAGGCTGAAAGAACTCTCCGCCGCCCTCCTCAGTATTCTAACCTAATCCTTAGTGCGGAGAAACTCACATAATTCGAGAATACATCCCAAAGTCGGGCCGCGTGATAACTCGAAGCATGGGGCCCCTCATGGTGATTCTGTATCTGAAGATGAGGCTCTATCCTGAGTGATGCGGAACGTGCGAATTCAATGACTCTCATTTTCTGTCATCGACGAGTCACTGTGGTCGGTATAAGATTTAGAAAGCACCGAGAACCCTCACCGCCCATGCGAAGGAAGAGACATCGAGCTAATTTGCATGATTGCATTACCCTCTTTATTTCATACCTCTCACAATTCCTTGACAACAGTAAATATCATGATCGATTTCTTACCATCGTCGTCTCCAACATAAAACCCGTTCCGAGGGTCGACCTCATAGTGACTCTCGGATCGGATCAGTACCATCTACAATACTCCGAGGTACCAGCCGAGAGTTCTCTCGTGAAACTCTCGTTTTGCAAAGTTGTTCTGCGTCTCTTCATGGTATCATTCCACTCAGATCGAGCTTTCTCCCCAGAAACGATCTGTGACACTATGTCCATGGGAATCTACTTTTCCTTCATCCTCAGAATCGATCTCTCTCTTTCAGCTACGATTTCCGATCCGGAAGCCTGGGAGGCTCATGGAGATGATGGAATCGACCGAGTTCCTCTCCGTCGTCCGTGGAAGCTCTCACTCACGATATTCAAAAATGCTGACATTGGAATGGCTTACAAGGAATGCGCAACGAGTTCGGACGCGGACGTCTCGTTCGATCATCCTCTGACCGACGGTGTGTATCTCCCCGCCCCGCTCCCAACATGAGAGAGACGCTCCTGATACGACTTTATCGAAGTGTGAATGCCTCCGTGCAGCGTAATTTGAATGATAACTTCAGCTACAGCTCATCTCTCGTCTCTAGTCGAGAGGATCCTAGGACCTTGCGGTCTCCTCCACTCTTCGTTTCAGTCAGTATTCAGAGAATACTCGAAGACCGCTCACCAGGGCTTCCCGGATAGATCGGTAAGTTAGACTCTGTTCATTATCTAGAATTGGGACAGGAGGAAATAGAAATAGAGCTCAAATGCCAAGTGAACGAACAACCACAAGGTAATCTTGAGATAACAATGGAATCGATATGGACGAGACACCATCGATTGTACGAGCGACTGCTCATTTCGCGACCGTTAGAATTCGCGATCGAGAGGATTGAGCGTTTTCGCTGCTCTCTCCCGCTTCGCTTCCGCTTCGGATTACCCCCAGTACAACGGCGGATCCATGGAACGAGACGTTTGGCCGATCCCTCCTCCACAGGTAGTCCCTAGCCCGTAGTCCCATGCCGAAGGAGTATTCGGGATTCGATCCGCCCCTTCCCTATTGATGAGCCGACTGTGCTCGTTCTCTCCGGGAAATTCCCGGCTCCGCCGCTGCCCCGGATTCGGAATCTAGATACTCGATGAGAAAGGGACAGAAACTTCGAGCTCCAGGAGACTGATTCTGGTCACCGTCCATGTGGATTCTACAAGATGTTTGCCTCGTTTTTTGTCGGTCGTGGTTCGCGCTCGGGCCAGAAGACGCTTCGGTGAGCTGAGGTGCTTACGGGCAATGACGGAACAGCAGCGATGGTATGATTCCCCGTATTGGAGAACCGCTAGTCCAGCTGCATAGCAAAGAACTACCTGACGGATCTCCACGAAGCGCTCCGACGAGGAAGATCGTGGAACAGTCTTCAGCTTTAGCATCGCGATCGCCTCCGCGGCGTCTCAGCGAATGCAGGAGCCTACTCCCCCGATCCCTCGACCCCGGTGCGATCCGTCAAAGTGAAGACCGAGACCCCGTCGACGGGGTGGATTCCTGCTCATGAAGAGTTCTGATGCTGAAGATTGGACGTCAAAGGTGTGCGTTTCCTCAGAAAAACGAAACACTGATAACGGTCAGAAGGACTGCGGAACGATGACGGGGAGAATCGAGAGAGAACTTTCCGTGTGAAGCCACGTCGAGTCTGTCTACAAGCACTCTTGATGAGGAGGAGCATATTCATTATGTACGAGCGACTCCGATGAATTGGTTGTTCCGACGGCTCGCCTGCTGTCGCTCTGAGGGTTGCGAGCAACCTTCGCTCGTGGTGGTCAGCGAGCGAGATCGTGCTCTCGAGCAGTAATGGCCTGGGTGTTCCCGCATGCTGGATCTTTGTTCCTCTCATTCGATTCGCTCCAGCCATGTAGGCCGCCAGAAAGACGAACGAACTTCTTCCGTTTGACACTAACCGGTCCCTTATCCTTCCCGAGAAATTGAAACTCTTTTGGTGAAATTGTCGCCAATTGTTCCGAGCAAAAGTCGCAGACATGCGATCACAGCCACAGATGGATTGCTTTCAGATTGCACATTGCAGAATTGCAGATGGATTGGAAGAACGCCTCAATTCGAAGCTGGGGATACAGCGCTCGAACAGACTACAGTCCGAAGGAGGAGAACGGAAACATAGCCGACGCCATCGCGTTTTTCCTCTGCAGCGCGGACAAACAGACGACAGGCCCACAACGAGGCAAACGCACCGCCCACTTGCTTCACAAAAAGTCAATCGACCTTAGATGGCTCATTCGGCTCGTCTGACCCGCGGGAGGGTTCCGCACACTCGCACTATCACCGAGGGCTAGCCGGCGGTGTGGACATCTCGAGCAGATTTGCACCGACAACATCGAGATTTCCTCGTTCGAGGGGACTCCTGGCTCGGATCCGGCGGCCGAACTTCCTGCGGGATCGCTATCGATACCAGGGCGGATGTTTCCGTCGGGGAACCTTTAGTTTGCCGGTCTCTCCGCACAAATTCCGGAGTGGTTCCCTCGAGCCATGAACGACCGGAGTCCAGTCCCCGAGGGTCTGGCCGCAGGCCCAAATGGTCTCTCGTGGCGGGAACGCGAGAGGCGAGGAGCAAAACTCTCCTCAATAATTATTGTGGGCAGGGGAACTGTCGCACAGGTCCCTCTGAAAAGCCCCGGGATGAGACGAGGTGCGGAACCAGTCAATCTCGGGAACAGGGTTCCTGAGCTGATGCCTTCGGTATGACCGCTTCATGCGTTTCCAGGCGAGGAAAATTCGGATGAGTCTGGGGTCGCTGAGAAGTCAGCCGGGACACGAACAGATAAATAGAAATCGTTCGTCTGACAAGAGTATTTCGACAACAGCTCTCCCGTCTCGATCGATCTCTCGCTATCTCCTTCGTCGAACCGAAAATGCTCGCGGCACCACTTATGTCAGTCCGTTCGCCCGGCGGCAACGTGGAAAGGGAGTTGATGGGAATGAAGCGCAACAGAGGTGAGGGCTCCCAAGACCCGCGGTACCATGCATAGGTTGACGGCACTTCCGGCAGGAGAGCGAACCACTCAAAAACGGCGCCGTCGATACGGTGCGTGATGCCATAAATGCTCGAAGTGTACCATTGAGGAGCGGATCTCCGCGTTTTCGAATGAACTGAGAAGCTCCTGGAACCTCAGAAACCCTGCAGGAACTCGGTGCGCCACGTTACAGTACTCGATGCTGGGCTATTCCGTCATTTGCGAATCGAATGCCCGGCGCGTACCACGTCGACCCGTATTGTGACGGCGACTTGATCGATGGCCGACGCGGTGAAAAATACATTCTACTCTGTAAGCATGGTTTTCGTTCCTTCTGTTTTGTTTGGATTTCTATTATTTTCTCCATACTTTGATTCACCAGAGCGTGTCCGTCTCTCTAGTAGTTCTCATATAATCGACTTTAAAACTTTCTCTCGCTTAGATCTCCCCTACCTGATCATCATCGGCGTTCTCAACACGCTGTCGCTGCCTCCGTCCTCCGCGCGGGGAGACGTCGCCCTTGCGTTGCACGCCGCACGTGATGCCTCTCTCAAATATCATCTGTTTACACTTTCTTCTACACGACTCAATACCATATTTTCCGAAAATGATTTCTCTCCCCAGTCAGTCAGTCAGTCAGTTGGTCGGCCGATCGGTCTGTCGGTCGGTCGGTCTGATCCCATTGAATCACGGCTTCTATCCGACGGATACGCTTGAAACTTTTCACCCTTAGTTCTCTCTCACTTGTGATGAAGATAATCCTGCCGACAATCTAATAGAACACGTGTTCATGTACAAGTTGAATTATATTCAGGAATTAGAGAGTGGGCCTCTAGACGAGCTATATGGTGGGCGGGCGATGAATCCAGATTCCCCGTAGAAGCTTCGACATCAGTTCGTTCGGAGACTGGCGTGACGTATGGTCCTTGGGGGTGGGGTATGCTGATCGTCCGATCAGAACTCTCTCGGGAAACTATCATACATAAACGCTCCGAACAACGTGTCCAGTGTCCGGGTTCCACACCCAATGTTCCCAGAACTCGAAACACGATTCACGAATCGAAATTAAATATCGTGATCTGAACACCGGATCTACAATCCAAGGGATGCTAAGCGAGAGATTGAACCAGAGGTCTCAGTGAGGCATATGAGGTAAGAGCAGATGAATAGCCATATCCGCCTCGCGGGGGCTCCGTGTGAGTATCTACGCATTACCTGAGATAACGCTATGCGTGACCGATGTTCGCGGTGCGGCTCGACTTGGCGAGTCACCTCTCGCAAACTACGGGGGTCTCGATTTCCTCCTTCGCCCGCCAATCATGCGCTCATTGTCCCGCCTGCTCTCGCCCGTTCGAATTTCTTCCTTATACTATGGTCTTGACCCCTGACGAATTCATGCTTCGATAATGCTCGATTCGAGCGTGCTCGGCGAGGATAATATGATTCTAAATCACGCTTCTCTGTTTGTTTTTTGTCGGCAGTCTCTTGCGTAATCAATCCATTCACTGGTCGATGCAGATTTGGGTATGGTGAGAGGTCATTCCGTACCGACAGCCTTTCTGAGTCATGAGGACCACCGCTGACATCTACCTAAATGCAGTTCCCTCCACTTGAATATATTTCCCTTAGGTAACTTGTCGGTTTCCTCCTTGGATTCCTTTCTCTGCGTCGTCCTGGAACACCACCAGTTCCTCTGTCTGCTGATCGGGCACCGAAGAGGAAATAACGAGTAAGATTGGTGGACCAGCGAGACGACGCCCATCTACTCGAGGATATCACAATAGGTGTCATTGCTTTCGACGACAGCTTCGATCATGGGTTCCATCCCGCGACATTCCAACATAACGCGGGATCAAAAGTCGGCCGGCTGGCCGGCCGACCGGCTAGTTACAGTGTCCACCCTCGACGCTTACGGGTGATCGATTGCTTGTCATGTTGGTTGCTTGCTTGCTTGCCTGCTCGCTTGATTGATTGACTACCATCTTTTCTAAGTAAGTAAATTCGTGTGTCCGATCCGCTTGCTCGGTCGCTCCTCAACCTCGCTCGTCGGCCTGCTCTGGACGAAGATCACTGAACTGCTCGACGCGTGCCACGGGCGGCTGTTGCTGCAGCTGCTGCTGGTGGTGGTGGTGATGATGATGATGATGTTGATCTTGTTGTTGTTGTTGTTGTTGTTGTTGTTGTGCCCTTTGTCGGTGCGGCTGAACCTGCTGACTTTGCTGATCGTCGCCGTCGTCCTCGCTCGCGACCTCTTCGGGAGGTTTCTCCGAGTTCGTAGCAAGCGTAGAGTTGTCGGTTAGTTGCGTCCGCTTCGGATCCTGTCTCTTGCGCTTGTGGTCCGGCACGACGATCTCGGTGGGAATCATTTCCTCGCCGTAGGGCGGGGGCGGTTCCTCTTGATCGAACGTTGTGGCTAGCACGGTGTGGTACGGCGGAGGCAGATCGTCCTGAACTCCCCGACTACAACAATTATTCGGCGTAACGATGTGATCGAGGTGCACGAAGGTGCCGTTCGAACGCACCACGTACAGCAGTGCTTCCTCTGAATCCGGCAGACAGACTCGAGGCACAACGTCGGGTATAAGGCCTCCTTCGGGCGATGTCGTCGGTGATAGGCGATGCGTGTCGAAAAGTCGACGTGGTTGCGGAGGGTACTGAGAGTAGTCCTCGAATATCGTCAGCATGTCCCCTGAATTGTCGGGACAGAAGGCTGGTTGCGTGGGCGATGGCTGACATGGAAAACAGCCTGAGGGCCGCTGCGACATTAAGGCACTGTTCCGGAAGGTGATGATGCCGAGCATGTCCGCCCACTGTGATCGAGCTAGTAACCGTTTGAAGGCGAAGCCGAGTCGGGTGAGGATGAGCGACACTAACGTCGATGTGAAGATCATAAATCCAATGATGGCCATGATGTCGATCACGGCGTACCGGAAGTAGAACCTTTGAAGTACGACGGCCGTAACCCCCACCGACAGGCTTAGCAGCATGCCTGCCGCCGCAACCCAGTACCAATTCATTTCTATCTAGCCGACTTCGCTTGTCCGAAACCGTCCGTCCGTCTGCGTGATCGGTCGGTCGGTCGGTCTATCGCTTGATCGCGCGATCGTAAAGCCTCCGATCTCAGTTTTCGAGAGATGGGCGCTCCTTTTCCCTCAGCGTGAATGCTTCTTTCCGGCAACAACTGTCTCCGGCATCCTGGAAAAACAACATTTGATCCGGTTAGCTGAAGATTTTCTGGAGCCAGATCTATCTGGAAGGCGGCCAAGCGAAGAGAAAGTCGATGAGGTGCTTGTCGAAAAAAAAAGAGAAGCCTCCGTCTGGCTGAGGTCATTAGACCCGGACAGAATGATGGAATCACCGAATGGAGGGGAGGGAACCTGGGCGGGCTGTCACAAAAATTTACGGATACTTCAACCTCCGTGGAGGATGTCGATTCTGAAAGAGCTCGTCCAAGTCCATAATCGGTATTTCTAGATCTTTGGAAAGAAGCAAGGGACAAAAGTCACCGCGTATATTCCTCTCACCACCATCATATTCATCTTTCTTCTAATTAATAAACCGAGAGCCTTGGAGCAAAAACAGGCGTCTCGTTCGAACGAGAGCTCTGATGGATCTGGTCTGTTGAGAAAAAGAACGGTCGGCCCTCTTCGTCTTATCCTTTCGCTACTATCGCTGTATGAGGCCACGCCGGGCGGGTTAAATTAATGGAGAATTTTCAGATTCCCTCATCGTACCCGCGGCCAGCACACGTTCGCCGTCGCCTACCCATCGGTCTCAGACCTTGACAGAGAGTCGGTCGATGACAGTAATGGAGCGAATCACAAATCAGGTCCGTCCTGATCCTCAGGGTGATCTTCGGCTGTTCGCGCTGTGGAGCAGACGTCCACCGAGTCTGCGTAGAGCAGGAGGTTGTGCAAGCGGAAGAGTTCGGTCGGCTCCGCAGCGGATAACGACATCGTTGCAACATACGTTCGGGTTTCTGAATCTAAGGAGCGGCACGCGTTAAAAGACGACTTCACTTCAGCGTCGCAATCGGCCGATGCACCCGACTCTGCTTCTCGTTTGACTTCGCGATCGCTCTCCTTCCCCCCGTGAGCCTCACGTTAGTGTTCCGCCCACCCTGCGAATCGGTCGAATGAACTTTGTCGTCGACGGTTCACTCGATTGATGGATGCAAGCCGCGTCGGAATCGCAGACTAGTCCGATCATTCGATTTGACTATTCGGTGGATCCTCCGATCGAGCCTGAATACCGGGAAGTTCTGATCTGGCAGGCCGTGAATCCCTTGTTCCTCACTCTCTGCTCCGCTTCATGCTCGCCAGGGGAACTGCCTCCTCAAGAAAATCCTCTCAGAACATGCCAATGTCGAGAAACTCTCGCTTCCGCGCGGGACGATGAATTTCCCCACGGAACCTCATTGTTCCGTCATCGGAAGTTCCCGCCCCCTCCCCTCAGATACATAAATGATCATCATAACGGATAGACACTCAATCTCTCCCGCCAGATCTGAGAGAAAATTACCTGAGACGCATTAGCGCAGCACCTGGACTGAAACTGAACTATGTAATGCCCAAGTAGAATGTATCAAGCCTCGAGAACAGTGGCGACGACGACGGGTGAAGAGAGGCGGGGAATGGCGGAACTTTGTTAGCGACAATGATGTGGACACTGCACACTCTCTCCTCTCGGATGCTCTCGATTCCCTCTTATTCTGCCGTAATCTGTCGCTCTTGAATGCTTGACCGGCTCCACAGCGGGCGGCCGCCTCTGCGCCTTTTCTGTGCCTCGTTTACGTTGGCGTTTGTGTATATTCACTTCCTACCGAGTCGGACCGGCAATTCGCTCAACTTTCCCCTCCGCTCAATCACGAGGGAGCGCGGAGCGTACTCTTGAGGGTCAGTCCGTCCGAGATTCCAAAATCAGCAGTGACCCGAACATAATGCGATTTCCCTCGTCACGGTGATTCGGCGTTCACTTAATCGGCGGGCTTGTTGCACCAGGAGCCCTTCGACTCTGGCGACAGGTCTCGAGCTCTGTCACCGGGAGCTAGGTACGGGCCAGCGAGATGGACGAACTGAGTAGATCTGTTCACTGGGATCTGTCCGTAGTGCAATCCGAGATATGGGTTGAGCTAAAAAAGTCGTTTTCGAACGCTGTGGCGGCCAATTTTCGATTCCTGTTGAATTTTGGTCGGAATGACTCAGCCGACGGGGTGAACGATTCCGCGGGAAAAATATCCGCGTGCCTCCGATCAGACGACGGGTCAACCGCCTGGTGGAAGGCCGAGCTCAAGAGTCCAGGGAATCTCTCAGGTGTCGAGGAACAAATTATGGGGCGGCTACATATTTCTCTGCGACGCATGCGAATCCGCAGTTCTGACGCTCAGAGTCGCTGTTTCCGCATCGGCGCTCACAGCGTTGCACCCCCCGGGCTGATCTAGATACAGGCGTCCGCATCTCTGAAATTCTGTGGACGAAAGAGGCGAGTGGGTGCCTGATAATCCTCAGCTTATACATGTATTGTGACATGAAAGGAGGGGCCATCACAAAGACAAAGACCCTCCCAGTCCTCCTCTCGATATTGGAAGCCGTTCGCGGCGCCGATGAGAACGCCCCCGTTTTGACAACATCCACGGGCTCAAAGACGGAAAACGGCCCGATACTTCAGCGTTCAAGAGCGGATCCGAGGACTTTATCAGCTCTCCCCGATCACCACAGCCCCGGCGGGAGCAAACGGCATCTCGGATTGTGATGCTCGCCTTGGTCGATCGCATTATGAGCAACTTTGAGACGCTCGCCGAAATCATGACAGGAGGCATGTCGGCCGAAACATCAAAAGGAGTGCCTTGATCTCCTTACGAAAACCAATTACGGAAACAAGCGCGGCACGGTGTCGCCGGCCTCTGCCGCGCGCCGCACCGGACCTTCCACGGAAGGACTGGCGTAGCGGACCCAACGGAGAAGAGGAACACAGTCCGCTCACAAGAGCCAGTATCACAGAGATCCCCATGAAACATTCTCATAATCAGCGTCATCCCCGAGCGGTCGACAAACGAGAGGTAGCTGAAGTTTGGAGCGCCTCAGAAGGGCCACGAGCGCTCTATTTAGCGCTCTATTCTTCACTATGTTTTAAGAAGAAGCGGCTCGTCGAGACGATCGTCACGGAGCTTTTCCTTGCGCTACGCCAAAACTGAGTGTCGAGATCGCTTGTGTTTCGCTAGCTCTTCGTCCGACTGGCTTGAGTCCAAGTTCAAGTCGCTCAGGAGACGGCGGGCTCAACCCCCTCCACCCGCTGTCTCCAGGTCATTGTTGAACATCACCTATAATGGAGCTCTCTAACGTAATACATATCCGCTCCTGTACTGTTCGCCGACACTTTCGTCTTCTTCCCAGTCCCCGAATAGCCCCAACTTCGACGGGGTGAGCAAGAGTCGGTTGGCAGACGCGTCTGCCGCTGGACGGTCTGGCGTAAGCGCAACGAGAGCACAGACGGCGAGACAGGCTGGCCATGCATCTTCGATGGAACATTAAATGCTCACGCTCAACCGAATTCCCGCCCTCGTGTCTGACGGGTCTCTTCCGCTCAGGAAGTCTTTCCTGTGAACAGTGACGACTTTGCGTCAATGTCCTTTTTTCGAAGCTCCGATTCCCTGCGCCCCGCCGCTACCGTCGATGCTGCATACAGAATGTATATGTGCGTGGGCGGATATCATTATATTCGCTTTCTCCCCTCATCCGGTCAAAACGTTTCCAGTAAGTACGTAGCTTTTACTCAAGCCCAATGTACATCATGAGTTTATGCAGCGCTTTGCTCGTCATCGCCATCAGCGCTTCTGTGATCAAACAGGATCAGAGTGAAATGATTCGATCTTCATTTGACTCCTCCTTCCGAGCTTTGCTCACGAAAAGGAGAAGCTCTTTGCTCCTCGGACCACCGTCGATGCCCCTCGCTGCCCAACTCGACAAGAGCAATTCGAAGACCTCGTGAAACTCCAGGAGTTGGAACGGACAATCTTCGCGGGGAACTCAGGGGAATCCGTGTGAGAGAGGAGTGGGCCAGACCACTCATTGATAATATAGGTAGCTTGCTTCTGAGTTTCAGGTCCGCTCCTCAGCTCCGAGCTCGATGCTGCTCCAGGAGAGGCCCCGGGCGAAGGAATTAACCTTCGTTGGTCTCAGAGTCAGCTGTATACTACGCTCTAAGAGCGACAGTGGAGGTCAAGCGACTGGAGACAAACAGCTGTACTCATGAATTCGGAGTTCTCTCAGACGTCGGGAACCGTTTAGATGCCGTCCAAGCTCGAATGCGTTCCCTCCATGCGGAATCTGCTCACAAGGACAGGTGGCTCGAGCCGCATGCGTCTCGCCATCGAGCCTTGGGTTCACCCTGATACTTTTGGTGTTCGGCTGCATCGATGCTCCCGAGCTCAAGAAGGGCGGACTTTCTCTCGGCGCTTCCGAGAGAGCCACGAGAAGAATCTCCAGATGCCTCTGGATGCGAGCTCGGAAACTTCCGAGGCATCATCTCGCAGAGGTACAATGCCAGCAAAGCGGAACTCTATTCAGAACAGCACTAGGTCGCAAGCGAGCGGTCAGATACCGAAGAAAAAAAAAATACAGAAAGAAAGCGAGCTATTCCTTCCGCTCAAAGGGGAAACAGCTTTTTAATCCAAATGCTCGCCCTGATCCATCGATTGCCAGCAACTGGTCCGGGAGACTTCAGCCTTCAGCTCAAACGAGCCGTTTGTTTATGAGGGTTGTAATTTGCGATGAAGCCACCCCAGGTCCGCGGGAGAGTGCGGAGGTCGGATTCTCGAGGTCCATTCCGAAAGAGGGAAGACGTGGATCCGGAACTTCGGCGATCGTAATTCGTATCTCCAACTTTACGATTCGAATCAAATGGCAGCGGCACGTCGTGTCAGTCGAATCAGGTGTGAGTGTCGACAGACCGTTACAAGGCGGCCCCGACCAAGCTCAATAGGCATAGGCTCGGGCTAGCCACTGCGGGAAGTCGGCGT